AGAGAGAGAGAGAGAGAGAGAGAGAGAGAGAGAGAGAGAGAGAGAGAGAGAGAGAGAGAGAGAGAGAGAGAGAGAGAGAGAGAGAGAGAGAGAGAGAGAGAGAGAGAGAGAGAGAGAGAGAGAGAGAGAGAGAGAGAGAGAGAGAGAGAGAGAGAGAGAGAGAGAGAGAGAGAGAGAGAGAGAGAGAGAGAGAGAGAGAGAGAGAGAGAGAGAGAGAGAGAGAGAGAGAGAGAGAGAGAATTAGTTATGCGACTAATCAGGATCCTCTTTTCATAAACTGGACTTCATTAATGTAGGGAAGTTAACATATACTTTAACTTCTGTTTCATATTTCTCAGTGCTAGAGCCTCTTCTGCGGTACTCATTTAGTTGTCTACTTAGCTCTTCATTATTAGCTTCAAGCCATGCAATCTTATCCTTAAGCACCTGCAATTGAAATCACGAATGAGTTGATTGTCATCTATTGAAGTATGAAACTATCCAGGGATCCAATTTAAATTGTAAAAAGAAGATCTAAGTCATGGACAACCGTAGAACAACAAAACCACCTGTATTTCATCAGAAAAACCACCTCCACTACGGGCACGGAGTTCTGCCTGCAAATACTCTAGTTGTTGGCGCATCTTCAGCATCTCATTAGACATTGGATCTCTATTAATCTTCAAAATGTTCAAAGAGAGGTACTTAAGATTTCTTTTTCCCACAATAATGGAAAGACATTGTAAGAAAAGTTTTGTTGCAAAACTTACTACTGGCTTGTTCTGAATATTCCGAGCACGATTTGCATATTTAAGAGTGTTCAGAGTTTCTTCAGCATTTATATCAGCAGGACTAATGCATGCTGGAAAAATGTAAATTAAAGATAAGAAAAAGTAGGTGAAGTGTCCGCTTGTAGGTACAGCAGGACATGCAAGCATCTCAAAGACAGAGAAATAAGAACCATAACTTTGATTAATCCAAGACGAATATACATAACACTGTCATAGAATTCTTCAGCATCCTACTTAAACAATGTTCTTTTCTTGGTCTCTTTTTTAAATGGTAGAAAAAAGACATGTTCACTGGAGATCGAAACAATAAGAGGAAGCAGCTAATTGATATTGAGTGATGCCAGATAAATATACCTACTGAGGACTCCCAAACAACAGGTCTTAACTTCCTCAATCGGGGTCCATATAGGGACCTACCTAGCCTCTGGCCAAGGAAAAAGGAAAGGGAGCAAAAGTTAGCTAATTCCACCAATTTGCTTCGATAATGCCAAGTGCCACTGGCTTATCTCTCAAGTGAATCAAATTTGTTAACAGTGTGCCCCATCAGCCCATACTAACGATTCAAAATATTAACACCACCATGATTTAGCTTAGAATTTAAATTGAGCTCAAAGATTGTGCTCAATGTTAGGGCTAACAATCATTCAATCAATCAACTATGCCTCAATCCAAAATTTTCCTCAATCGCAAATTTTTTGAGGTTGAATGTAAAAGTTCTCTATCTCCACTGTGCTCTCTTCAGGTTTATTTCATTCTGATGCAAAATAATATGTCTTCTAACACAAATATGAGTTCTCAAAATCGTACAATTATTCCTACTTGGAAGTACCGGTTTCCAAACAGAAAAAAGGACTGCTAACAAACACGAGTAGTGTTAGTGTAACGACTAGCTTTTAATTATAAATTGTTAAAGGAACAAAAGCAAACAAAAAGCTGGCTGAAGATTACAATTATGAAGAGAGAAGATCCATACTTGCTATTTTTAACGAGCAAGATATTGTTCACAGCACATAAAGCATAACCCAGTATCAAACTTTGCTAGCCAACTCAATAGGGAAAATCAAATTTTTGACTATGAAGAGCAGCAACAATAGTGAGTAGTGTTAGATAGTTATGTAAATAACTCTAGTCCCACATGAATAGGAGTAGAATATGTATTGTGTATTGTTATAAATTGGGCTATTGTAAGAGATTTAATAGAATATCAATAATATATTTTTCTCCCGTGCATTCTCACATGGCATAAGAACAATCGTGAGAAGTTTATCGCTGTGCATAAATTCCAGCGACTTCGGGAAGAGAAATCAGTCAACCGGAAGCCCCTTTTCCGGCAAAAACAAGTCGGTCTGCATGAACAATAGTATCCGTCAGTGTTGTGCAAAAACCAACACTACCAGGAAGTAGATCAAAGTTAGGCGACCAACCTTTAAAAAAATCTTCGGCAAAAAAGGACTCACGCGCCGCCGGAAGAATTTCTCCGGCTAAGTTCCGACGTCAACGTGCCTAAGCGTGAGGCTATTTCCGGCCAGCTTTAGGCAAAACTTCATCAACTCAGTTTGTTCTCCTCGCAATTCCTTACCTTTAGATTCAGTTCTTTATGTTCCCAATAGTCCTTTAATCTCATAGTCGTTAGTTGCTTAGCCAAATCGCTTAAATGCACTGTTTTATTTCTTAATGACGTTGTTTTTATACAGGAACGTAGTACGAGGCGGATCATTGGTACCGGGCGTGAACCAAATGGTCTTTATTACCTTATCCTTGCAGAATCACATGGACTCATATCTTATCTTCCTTCAACAACTCGTCCTATTACTGATTCACCAGATTTATTACACAAACGGTTGGGACATCCAGTTTGTCAAAACTTCAGAAAATGGTACCTGGTTTATCTCACTTGTCCACTCTAGAGTGTGAGTCAAGTCAGCTCGGTAAGCATACTCGCTCTCATTTCCCTCGACGTCCTTATAATCGAGCAAAGTCACCTTTCACTTTAGTCCATTCAGATGTTTGGGGTCCTATTCGGGTCAGTTCTACCTTGGGATTCCGCTACTTTGTGAGTTTCATTGATGATTATTCGAGGTGCGCTTGGATATTTTTGATGAAAAATCGATCTGAGTTATTTTCTATTTTACAGACCCTCCACGCTGAAATTCAAAATTAATTTGGGGTTTCTATCCGCACATTTCGTAGTGATAATGCCCTAGAGTATTTCAGCAGTTTATGAACTCTCATGGGATTATTCATCAAACATCTTGACCGTACACATCTCAACAAAATGGGTAGCTGAAAGGAAGAATAGACAACTTATCGAAATTACTCGTACCCCACACATACAATCTCATGTTCCGTTGCGTTTTTGGGGGACGCAGTTCTTACATCTTGTTATCTTATTAATCATATGCCATCTTCAGTTATCCAGAATCAAGTTCCATTCTCTGTCTTGTTTCCCACTCATCTTTGTTCTCTCTTCCACCCCGTGTCTCTGAGAGCACGTGTTCTGTTCCTTACTCCAGGAAAAAAATAAGTTAGCTCCTCATGCTCTTAAGTGCGTATTTCTAGGTTACTCGAGAACGCAAAAGGAATATCGATGCTATTCACATAACCTCCGGTGGTACCTTATGTCAGCTGATGTTACCTTCTTTGAAACACAATCATACTTCACAGGTCCAGGAAATCACTTAGATATTTCTGAGGTACTACCAGTTCCATCTTTTGGAGATTCAGTCACTATCTCCCAATCATCTTCCTCTACAACTCCAGCTCCACCACCTACAGCTCATGTTCTAGCTTCATCACCAATAACTCCAGTTCCATCATCGAGTCCAGTTCAACCTTCTACAGCTCCACCACTCCTAACTTATCATCACCGTCCGGCCTAGCATCAGGCCCAGCTGATTCACATCCTGCACCTGACCTTGCTCCTACTCCGAACGTGTCTCCTTCTAGTCAACCGATTGCACTTCGTGTGTCATCGGTTGTCCGAAAGGTATACGGTCCACACTTAATCCTAATCCCCATTATATCGGTTTAAGTTACCATCGTGTGTCATCACCTTATTATGCGTTTGTGTCATCTTTGTCCTCTACCACCATCCCTAAGTCTGCACGTGAAACACTGTCTTATCCAGGAGGGCAACATTCTATGGTTGACGAGATGTCTGCTTTACATACGAGTGGTACTTGGGAGCTTGTTCCACTTCCTTCGGGTAAATTTATTGTTGGTTGTCGTTGGGTGTATGCAGTCAAAGTTGGTCCAGATGGCCAGGTTGATCGACTTAAGGCTCGTCTTATTGCTAAAGAGTATACTCAGATATTTGGGCTCGATTACAGTAATACTTTCTCTCCCGTGGCTAAAATAGCATTAGTCCGCCTTTTCTATCCATGGTTGTTGTTCACCATTGGCCTCTCTATCAGTTGGACATCAAGAATGCTTTTCTTTACGGTGATCTTGAGGGTGAGGTTTATATGGAGCAACCACCTAGTTTTGTTGCTCGGAGGAATCTAGTGGCCCTGTATGTCGGTTGCGCCGGTCCCTCTATGGTCTAAAGCAGTCTCATCGAGCCTGGTTTGGTAAGTTCAACACGGTTATTCAAGAGTTTGGCATGACTTGTAGTGAAACTGATCACTCTATGTTCTATCGGCATTCTATTTCAAATCTTTGTATTTATCTGGTAGTTTATGTTGATGATATTGTTATTACCGGCAATGATTAGATGGTATTACTAAGTTGAAGCAACATCTCTTTCAGCACTTTCAGATAAAGGATCCGGGCAGATTAAAGTATTTTCTGGGTATTGAGGTTGCTCAGTCTAGCGCAGGTATTGTGATCTCACAACGGATGTATGCCTTAGACATTCTGGAGGAGACAGGAATGATACAGGGGGAACCTCTTAGCAATCCTGCAAGATATAGGCAGCTGGTTGGTAAACTAAATTACCTCACAGTGACTACACCTAACATTTCCTTTCCTGAGTGTGGTGAATCACTTTATGGATTCTCCCCGTAATAGTCATTGGGATGCAGTTGTTTGCATTCTTCGTGGGTCCAGAGTAAGTAATAAAACTCAGTCATATTATCACTGATAGGTCATTGCAACTATATTTGCTTTCGCTAGAACAAAATTTAGAAAATTCACTATAGTTAGATATATCATTGTTCATCAGCATGCTATTGGCGTCATTCTAATGCAAAAAGGGTGGATAAACAGGACTTACCTATCATGAAAGTACGACTGTTACCGCCAAGTGAATCCTGTCATTTGCCAAAAAACTTTTAGTTGATGAAGTGTGCAAATAACTTCAATAGACACAGTGGAAATGACTCAACAAGGAAAAAACAGAATCTAAGTGTTTTTTAAGAGATGAAGACTAAACAAATCCTCAAATAATTAAGCTGTGTTGACCACGTAATAATGCCAAAGTCTGTTCACAACTTTCTGCTGATAATTCAATTAAGTGTGGCAGTGTTGGTTTTCTGATCATTCCTTTTTACCGAGAAGATTCTTTTTCATTGGCAAATGTAATTCATTGCAGCAACAAATAAGTGCTTTAAATTACTTAAAGATAGTTACATTACAGATTATGTGATGAACACAGAAAACCAACCATGGCCTCAATGACACTCTTTACTTAGTAGACTCGTAACAGAATTTTGTCGTTTTACTTATCACTTCTTCCGTCCCAGAAAGAATGGTGGGGTTTGCCAAACAAGGGTCAACCATCTAATTTCGGTGTGAATTTGGACATCAATTTCTACCTACAATTTTGTTGTAAAACTTCAACTTTCAGTTTAATTTTCAACTTCACTTCAAATGTCTTGCATAACTTTTTTGAAATAATTCTAGAGAGTACTATAAATAACAAATTTTTATAGTTAAAAACTATTTAGGTAATGTATTGAAAAATCATAGTCAAAGAAATAACAGTCTGAGTCCTTAGTAGTTATGGTGACACAAAAAGTGCAACAAAGGAAGTATTCAAGAAAGACTAAAGGATTTCAGAACAACATTTCAAAATTTGAAAGTTTAATAACACTGTAACAGGCATGATAAGAATTGGGTCTATTTAGATATTGAAAAGAAAAAGTTGAGACCATCCACTATCAAGATTGTATTATCAGCAGTACAAAGCTAAATGGTGAAAAGGTGCCCCAAATGTTAAGAACAATATCATGAAAAGCTACATAAAGGGAGACACTTTTCTTCAAGTAAACCAAGAGGATACTTGTGTTACCAGCTGGTTTCAGTTATTTTTGACATAGAAAATAATTATTGGATGCTTTTCCGACTTTAAGAGATAGGTTGCATGATACACCTATTACAGGATTCTTAAAGAAAAACATGTTTTTCTCATCTGTTTTTGTGAGAATGGTAACGAAGCAAGTTTTTCTCATCTCCAATAACTATTCCTCTATGATTTGATGAAAAAAAGGAATATTGGAATATCCTTAAAATGAAAACATGTCAAACCTGCAGGAGCCGAGTGAGTTTACTATCTCGATATGGAACATGAGTACCTTCTCTCTGCTTTTTCTCATCGCCTAGTGCACTAATAACATTTCCAAGTGCAAGAAGGCCTTTATTAATGTGAACTCCTGTTATTGGAACGTCCACCAAGTAACTGTGTCACACATGAGGCATTTTCGAACACATTAAGAGAAAACAATGAGAATGAGTACCTTCTTTAAAACGGAGACCATCTGATCCTGTTCTTTTGGCTCGCTCTGAACCAGCAAGATCCACCAAATGCAACTTGGCACAAAGATATTCTTCAGTCATGCACTCACTGCTATGGCCATCATTTGAATCCGTCGGATTGAGCTTGCGCATCTGCTCCAGTGTAATGGTGAAGATGGCATGAGACCGACTGACAAAAATGAGAAAAAAGATGAAACAGTTCATAAAATTTTGTACATAAATAATGCAACAGGGAGAATGCGTCCTTCAGATCACTGGACCTATTAAAGAAACTATTTGTAGGATACAAGTGAAAGCCTGGATTTGTGTATTATGCTATTAGCGCACAAGTATTGTACTTTTCTGCCTAAGATTCTATTAAGTATAACTTGACAAACCTTCCCCCCACAAATAAAAAAGGAAAGCAAATAATTGTTGGTGTCTTTCCATGTTATTTTACCAAGATAATAAAGGGCAGAAAAAGGAACACACAAGACCATGAGACTATGTTTCCTACCTTGACTGGTTGTTCATGTTTGTACTGCCGGTGGCCCTATTAAGTGATCCTTGCTCCAGGCAATCAGCCATTTCGTTTAGTGTTTTTACACTACGCTCAGTTGACCCTGCCAATGTAATAACACCATTTGATGTTTCACGGATCTGTATTGGTGGTTTCCTTGGGCTGGCTACTTTCCCTGTGTGCCCATTTGTTGTCTCTGATTTGCTAATACAATCAGGGTCCAGCAAATCTATTACTTCTTCTTTATGTATCTGCATAAGAGAATAACTAAGTCAAACTGCATGACCGTGCATAGTGTAGCCAACAAAGAAAGTCATAACTGTTTGGAATGTTAGTCATTCTACAAATTCCAAGTGAAGAGTGTTGTAAAATATATAAATATAAATAAGTAAAAGTGTTCTGTGCCTAACAGATTAAGCTTTTAGATGAAGTGGTCAGACAATTCAACATGGTACTAGAGCAGATAGAGGTCATGTAGTCAAGTCTCACCGCCACTCATAAACAAAGTATTTCCATGTACTTGGTCACAATAAAAAATTCAGGCCTTATGAGAGGGTCGTTGTAAAACATAACATAAATTAACAAAAGTGTCCTCCATCAATAGCATAAGTTTTTTGATGAGGTAGTCATATATTTAACAAGTGGAATTATGGAAGCAAACAAATGCATGATGCAGCATTGACTAAAAAAAACTTTACATTAGAATGAAAGACCAAATTCCAACTCATGCAACTTTGACATGCTTGAAAAATGTATAATTCATCAAAACAGTTGTTCTTGGATAGAATTCAGCGCCTTTATTTCACCATTCTCTTCTTAGATCCATGGAATGGCCTACATGTTATTTTGCATCATCGTGAACTATAACATATTACGAAAAAAATGAAGGTTGATGTGTTCACTGTCAAAGCCTCCCAGTATTCCTATATGATCAATTGATTCTTAAGTATAATCTCAAACTTACAGAAACTAAGACTATCTGTACCTTATGGCCTATTGAGCTATCTACTAGAAGTATTGAACGTTTTGCTTTAACGAGCCATTTATTTGGTCAAATTTTTGTTATTTACTGAAATGCTTAGGCATCGACTACGAAAAGAATGGCGCGAGGAGACATTCAGGGGCATGAGAAGGAGGAGGATTCTTTGATAAGAGGACAACAGAAGAAAGGAATGAGTTGGCGAACCTCAATGAAGGATACGTGCAACTGGAATTCTGACTGATGTTTCAAGGTCTCAATCTTGTTAAACAAAGTATTCATAACTTGCAAAACGAGTCCAGTTTGGCCGCCATCTTTGAAACCAGTACCCATGGTGTATGTTTTCCCAGAGCCTGTCTGCATTTCAATCGAAAGAATATGGAAACAAATGGCTGAAATTGAGAATAGCTAATATCACACATATAATATATGATAAAGGGTATACCTGGCCATAAGCAAGGACAGTGGCATTATATCCTTGGAATAGACCGTCAACAAGAGGGGCCACACACTCCTCAAACATTGTAACTGAGGGTGAACCACTGCTCCCATAAACATGATCAAAAGTAAATGAGTGTGAACCAATTTGAACCTGCAAAGCAGCCATAATGAGCCTTATACTTGCTAGATAATAAAATATGTGCATGAAATATAGACTGCAGAAGTGCCTCCAAACTCTAGTAGGCACATCGAGAATTCCTGTTACTTACTGTCTTTAAAACATAATTACTACATTCAAAGTGCTGGTGCAAGATTTCCCTATTTCCTAGTTTTTGACAATTAAGTCTCCCAGACGTCAACAAGGAAGGATTCGGAGAAGGTACTACTCCCTCCGGTTCACAATAAGTGTCCAATTTGCTTTTTCATTTTGGTTCAAAATAAGTGTCCAGTTATGTAATCAAGAAAGAATTCAATTTGCTTTTACAAAATAACCCCTATGTGCATATCCCTAAAAAGTTTTCTTACTCCTCACATTAAATGTTTAATTAGGGGTAGTTTAGTCATAGTAGGTATTTTTGTATGGAATTTAGTATTTTCATAATGGACGTGCTAAAAGCAAATTGGATACTTATTGTGAACCGAAGGGAGTAATTATCAATTAAATAGAGGAACATGTGTAATATTAATGCAGTATAAGCAGCAAGATGTAAGAAATCAGCTATTGTACAAGAAATATGGTGACACAAAAGACAAATTGTGTACTTGCTTGGTCCTGTTGTTGGCCTTAATCTTCACTAAACGAAGCCAGATATTTCAAGGAAGCAAACTAAGCTCAGAACATGTGTTAAACCCCATCAGAGTCACACTCGGACCAATCAATCAGTCAATTAAAGAAATCATTGTTGTGCAAGAAATTGGATTAGTAATCTGCAATTAAGCAGAAGCTTACACTGAATATTCCCTATTATAGAAACTATTTATTGTAGTAGTACTAGGCTATTAATAAAATCAGATTAAAACTCGGATCACATCACCATAATTGCTTGAAATGGGACATGAAGATTCCAGAAAAACATGGTCTTTGAAAGCTTTAAAATCATAATGTGATCCATAATTTCCTTGATAAAGGTATAATATCATCATCAATTTGAAAATAAAAGGCAAAAAGTAAGCTTTCCCAATAACATCACCGCAGGAACATATGTTAAGAGTCCACAATGCTGAGCCAATAATCACATTAAAAGAAAAAAAAAAAAAAAAAAAAAAAAAAAAAAAAAACTGTACCTGAGGCTTTCCAGGGACTATAAAGACACAATCTTTGCAACCTTGAAGCTTCTCATCTCCAATAAGTGGCCTAATATGAACTGCCACTTTGACACAACAATCCTCTACACAAGCAGCTTCCATTGAAAATCTTTAACAATAGAAGAAGAAAACAGACCAAAGGGGAAAGAAAATGTGTTCTTGGCTAGTGAGTTGGAAAACAGTTAGCTGAAATCTTCACAGAAGTGGAGAGGAAATTTAAGGTAGAGCCAAGAAGACAGAATGAAAGGTAGTTAATAGTTATTCCCAGAGAGAGAGAGAGAGAGACAGAGAGAGAGAGTAGAATAGGTAGTTGAGGAACAGAAAAGAAAGGCTGAAGTGTATATAAGAAGATGGGACCGTACATGTAGTATGTTTTACTGTTAACTTCAATGACAGCAACTACGACAACAACCGCTAAGATGTTCTTTCTTCTCTTTTACTTTTGTGGGGTTTGCTTTTTTACTTGGACTTCCCCGCTATGTTATACTAGTACATAGAGATGGCAAAATGGTCAACAGAAATGAGTTATCCATCCATATAATTCATTAAAAAATAGATTGGATAATGAATTTTTTAAAAATGGATCGAATATGATAAGAATTATATTATCCACTTAAAAAATAATTAACCAAATGGATAACTAATGTGCTTAACTTTTACATTTGTAAAGCCTCAAACTAAGGGTTCCTCAAATTTGGGAGGCTAGAAATTCTCTCATAAGTGATCATATTCAAGAAGCCATGGATAATATGGATATCCATATTATCCACCGGATAAATCCGTTTTTATCCGTCTCAAATACGGGTCGGGTCGAAAAATTTATTCATTTTTTAATTACCTGTTTTTGACCCGCTCATATCTGACCCGAAGCGACCGTTTGCCACCCCTTGTAGTACAGCACAACAGCCCAGGCGGCGGGTCAGAGAGAGCAAAGCTCGAGCAATGGATGTAACAAGATTTAAGGTATATTTTGAGGGGCCTTTTGGTATGGTATATAAGAATAGTGCGGAATAACGTGTATTAGTAATGTAGGGATTAATAATGCATGTATTAGTAATACAAGCATTAGTTATGTAGATATTATTTAAGCGAAATGGCTTCCCAGCCACTTAAACTTGCATCAGTTTGGAAAGCCGATATATGAACTCTTGGGTTTCCCATTTGAACACCTTTACTTGAGAAAATGGCTACTAATAAACACCTTTGACCGTTGACTATGCTTATGTGGCAGTATTATAGCTGATGTGGTCAATTGCGTGTTAATCACGGTTATAAAGCGCGTGAATACATAAATTTATAAAATAATAAAAAGATCCATCTGTATTTATCCTTCCCCGTACCTTACCCCTACCTCTCCCTTTTCTTCACTCATGTTACCTACTCCCCTCCCTCCCCCCCCACAATTATTTCTCTTCTTCTTCCTTTTCCGTCTATTCCACCTTTATTCCATAAAATTTTTGATAAATCACACACCAAAGCTCCATATTAAACCGTCATATTTGTTTAATCTTCAATTTTTCACTATCAATCACACTCCAAAGCTCTATATTAGAGAAAATTCTACACCCATTATCATAAAAATAAACCCAACGAATCAAGGAAGATGGAAAAATCTAGTCTAATTTTGTAGTATGAATTGGTCAAAAGAAATTGAAAAGCAAATAGTGTTTGCTTCTTTCTAATTTGCTGAAATTATTTTCTGATTTGTTGGGAAAAATTGGGTCTGATTTTGATTACATCGCTGCTTTCTGATTTGATGATTTGTTAGGAAAAGTTGGGTCTGATTTCAATCATGGTAAAAGTTATTCATGTTTCATGATTTTTCTTTTTGATCTTTGGAGGTGGCAATTTTTGTCTCTTAGTTTGGGTGATATTTTCCTTGTAATTTTGGGTGGTAAAAGGTTTTCCAGATTGTTCATATTTTCTTGGTGAGAAGATGATAAACAATGAAAGTGAAAGGTATTGGGTAGGATAGAAAAAAGACAATCGCCGGAGCCGTTGATGATAAAATCTAAAAAATTTCAAATCGATTCCCAGTTCGGTAAGGTTTTTCCGGTGGGTTTTGAGGGAGTAGAAGGGGTGGGTAGAAAAAATTAATTTGATTAATAAAAAAAGTGGGACCTTGAACATACAGGTGTCAACAAAATATGAATGAACGGATGATGTGGCTATAAAAAATATTAAATTAAATCCATGTCCGCAGCAATTGAACAACACGCACCATCACACGTGTTTATTAGTAGCCATTTTCTCAAGTAAAGGTGTTCAAATAGGAAACCCAAGAGTTTATATATCGACTTTACAAACCGATGCATGTTTAAGTGGCCAGGAAGCCATTTCGCCTATTATTTATTATCTGATGTTTGGTGTGGTGTATTAAAAATTATACTGCATTGCATAATTTTAGAGAAAAATGGTTGTTTACAAAATGCCCTCCATATTCTCTAGCTTTAACGGACTTTAATGACAATTTTGTCTTTCACCATTCTAATGCATGCATTAATAGCTTTAGGGGTCGTTTGGTAGGAGGTATTAGAAAAAATAATGCAAGCATTAGCTCTGTGCATTACTGATACCTTGTTTGGTACATTTTTTCAACTTGTGTATAACTAATACACTAATACACCATACTTGGTATTATCCTATGTATAAGTAATGCATAGAAAACCATGACATTTGTAATACCAAGGCTATTACAATGGATTATAATTTTTAATACACCACACCAAACAGCAGATAAGAAATAATATCTGGATAACTAATGCTTGCATTACTAACCCATGCATGACTAATTACTATATTAATAATACACCTTATTCCGCACTATTCCTATACATCCTACCAAACAACCCCTGACAGCATTATGGTGCAGTTTAACTCCATGTAGCAAATGAATTCCTAAGGTTATCACATATAACTTTCAAGAAAGATCTTTTATCATAGTTTAACTTAATTTAGTAATTTAAAATATATATATATATATATATATATATATATATATATATATATATATATATATATATATATATATATATATATATATATTAAATTGATAATGCAATTGTATTTTAACGGATTATATTTGCTATTTTTAGATGGCCTCTACTATTTTATTAAAGGCCAGCAATAATATTGGTTTTTAAGTAATTTGATTGTGAAATAGTTCTTTATTTTATAACAGTATATTATTTTAATCGACTTACTGTGCGCCTTAATTATTTAATTGACTAGTAGTCGTACCCGCGCGATGCGCGGTCAATATTAAAAAAATATTTGTCACTTTGTTAATTTTTCGATGTTATATTTGAAATTATCACAATTATTTGATTATCCTATTCTATATAAATAGAATAGATATTGTCTAAATTTTAATAAAAATCTCCATTTAATTAAAGGGACTTATATAGTCATCAAATAATTGTTTCGTTATGTATTTTTATTTATTATATTATCCAATATTTAGTATAATTATATTGTTAATAGAAATCATGACACTTGTCATTATAACATTTCTTTGCCTCTCCTATTATATATATTATATATTATATATTATATATTATATATTATACATATATTATATTATATTATATATATAAATAGATTTTTCGTTTTTTTTATTTTAAAGTAATTTTAAAACTCCAATTTGAAACTACTCCCAAATTTGAATTAGTAATCATTATTTTATTTTATTTTGTTTTTTATTTTAAAATTATTTTAAAACTCCAACTTGAAACTACTTCCCGATTTGAATGGGTAGTTTTCTTCTCTTTTTTCATTTTTTTATTGGTAATATTTTTTTTTGCTTTTTATTTTAAAATAATTTAAAAACTCAAACTTGAAACTACTCCCA